TTCGAGGCCCTGAAGAATTCCCTCATCAAAACTCCCGTGCTAATCCGCCCGGATTTTACGAAGCCCTTCACGCTGCAGACGGACGCCAGCGATTATGCCATAGGGGCCGTCCTGACCCAGGACGAAGACGGGGAGGAACATCCCGTCGTTTTCGTCAGCCGTGTGCTTACTCCGGCGGAGAGAAAGTAAACGGTGACGGAGAAGGAATGTTTGGCGGTGCTGTGGGCCGCCAAGAAGATGCGACCTTACATAGAAGGTACTAAATTTAAGGTAGTCACGGACCACAGCAGTTTGCGATGGCTACGTAATCTGAAGGACTTCACCGGAAGACTAGCGCGCTGGGCGCTGGCCATGCAAGGATACGATATGGAAATCGTGCACCGGAAGGACTCTCTGAATGTGGTCCCAGACGCTCTATCCCGTCAGTTCAAGGACGAACTGACGTGTCTAGGGGCATTAGGGGATACCACCGACGAGTAGTACGTCGCCCGTAAGGAAAATGTGAGGGAAATGCCTCGCAAATATCCCTCCTGGAAGGTAAAAGAGGACAAGTTATACTGCCACCGGGAGGATCCGTTGATTGACCTCGCCATGACTAACCTGAATGGGTGGAAGTTGGTTCTACCCCAGGAACTCAGGAACAGGGCCCTGGCGGATGCTTACAACCCTCCCCAAGCCGGCCACTTAGGCGTCGAGAAAACATATCACCGGTTGGCAATGGATTTTTATTGGCCAGGGATATACCACCATGCTGCTCGGTTTGTGAGGGGCTGCCAAGAATGTCAGCGGAAAAAACTAATGCAACAGGGGCCAGCCGGCCTGATGAGGGAACGTCATGTAGAGGGACCTTGGTCGGTCGTGGCGGCTGACATTATGGGCCCGTTCCCTCCAAGTCGGTCTCGGAGGAGGTACCTACTAGTGCTGCAGGACCTCTTCACCAAATATGTCGAGGTGGTGGCCCTGAGGAGGGCAACCGCCAAAACCATCCTGGATGCCTTCGAGACGACAGTGGTCAACCGCTGGGATTGCCCACAATTCTTGCTCACGGACAACGGGACGGAGTTCGCCAACCGGTAAGTGACGGAGCGACTGGAGTTTCTGGGCATTGCGCATACTACGACTCCACCGTACCATGCACAGGCGAATCCTGTGGAGCGGGCGAACCGCACCCTGAAAACTATGATTTCCACATTTGTTGGCAAAGACCACCGAGATTGGGATGAGCACCTGCCCGAGTTGGCATTTGCTATGAATACGGCTGTACAAGCGACATCCCAATTCTCGCCGGCCTTTCTCAACTTTGGTCGCAATCCTCGTCCCGTAAAAAGTCTCCCTCTCCCCCTCCGTCGCCTACCAACCCAAACCCATTCTTCCCTCTTACGGAATGCCGCATCAGGGAAACCATTGCCCTGCACCCCTTGCGACGCCCAGAACCACCCCCTAAAACGAACACTCCTTCCTCTCCCAAGGCCCCACTCCCCCAGTACGGTCCCTTAAACCCCATCCAACCCCCCCCAATATCGCTCCTTAAACCTCTCCCGACCTCCTAGATCCCCACCCCCGTACAGGCCCCTTGACTCAACGCGATCCTCCCAATCCCCAACCCGCCAGTCACCACTGACCTCGTCCCGACCGTCCCGATTATCGCCCCGATAGCAGCCCAGCAATACGTTCCGTTCCCCACCCCTTAGTAGACCCATCCACCTGTCCCGTTCCCCCCGATCTCCGCGAGAGCACTTCCGCTCGAGCTCCGCGGCGCTCCGATGCTCCCCAACCCGTCCCCCAATAAGGGCCAGAACCCCTTCGGCCGCGAGGTCGGTCGCGGCATGCGCCCCGGCTCCCCCCTTAATGGAGCTCCATATCCCGGCCCCGGGACGGATCCCGGGACTGCGGTCGGAGCAGGGGGGAGTGTGCTGGCGGTGCGGCGGCCGCGGGCACGGACACCGGGAGTGCCCCACCCCGGCGACGGGCCCCTATTGTTACCTGTGCAGGCGCCAGGGCGTCCGTGTTTCGGAGTGCCCGGACCACCGCCTGTATTGGTTGGGGAAGTTCTCCACCAGGCGGTGAAATGGGTGTCTGGACGAGCGGCTGTTGCTGCGCGTCCGCCGATAGCATGGGGGAGTAACCCGCCGCTGGGGGATGGGGGAGTACTGCCGGGGCGGCTCGGAGAGCCGCCCTTCCCCGGCACCTCCATTCCCTTTTCTGATCCCTAAAAACCCCTAAGTACCCTGTTAACCCTTGGGGAAACCCTCTCCTTTCTAGCACATACCCTGTTGACCCTTGGGAAACCCCCTCCTTTCTATCACCCACCCTGTTTCCCCCCCTTGGGGTTCCTGTCGAGAGATTAATGCATGCCCCGCGTGCGTCGCCGGTTGGTCGTCTTGGGGAAACGGGAGCCATCATCGAGAACGGCCTGGGGCTCATCTCGACTATCGACATCTTGGGGTATTGGGCAGAGCAGCCCAACCCGTCCACTTCGGGGAGAACTGCAGCGGACCGGCCTCAGCAGGCCAGCAACTTCAGGGGATAATACTACTGCGTACCTGCGTGGCGTTTTGCGAAATAAGGACTAACGTGCGAACTGCCGTATACTAAGACAACGAATCTGATAGTAGGGGACAGGTTGGCAGCGAACGCGTCGGGAACTATGTAACGCAATCGTCTATGGAGTCCCGAAAGGACGAGTTCTGTGCTAGGGTGTAAGATGTAGAGAATCCCCCGTTTGGGAATATTTTTGGAATAGGGTTTAGGATCATAGATCCGGGCAATATCAGGGAACCGTCCCACCGAACCCGTCAGGCGATTAGGTAGTGAGGAAGTTAGGCGGAATAGCCTTCCCTCCCCTCGCGACAGGATAGGGGTTTCTCCAGGAGAACAATTGATTGTACTAAAGTGCGGAATACGCGAGGAGAGGAATGGCTAATTAGGAGCGGCGTCGACCGGTACTCCTAAATTCTGTGATAACTGATAGGGAGAGGATCAGTCAGAGATCACTAAAAATACACGCGAGTAGGAAACTGCGTTACCGAAGGGTTAAGGGACCCAGTTAAGACTGATTCGGGCGGCGTCGAAGCCCGAACAACAATTTAGAGATTGCGGGGGTCAGCGGACCCCGATTAAGACTGATGGTTAGCAACGAAGCCCAAAGGATTTGTTGAGACTGAATCGGGTCAGTACAACCCGCGAAACAATAAGGCTGACATGTACGGGTATTAGGATTACGAGGACGCTTGACGGATGTTAGGGGAATTCGACGGTCCGTCGCGGCGGAACGGACGTCCCGTCTAGGTGGGGGGTATTGTAATGTGGTGGATCGGTGGCTCCCCCACATTAAAAGGGAATCGCGTCCTCAAAAATGAAGGAGTAGCTACCGACCCGCCCTAGATACAGTTAACGATAATAAGTTGCGCGCGAGCGTCACTAGCGAACGCCCGAACATATATTAAGTTGGGGATACTTATGGGAAAGAAACGGGAAAATAGGGAAAATAAGGGTCTGCATCGAATAAGGAACGACTCTGGGCGATAGGGGATATTCGGGAGGAAATATCTACGACCTTAAAGGGCTGTACGCCTTAGGGTTCGCCCATGCGGCCCTGAAGTAGTGGAGGATATTGGGCCGCTCATGTGGTCCTGTAGAGCGCGGCGAGGCCCGAGCCGCCGTCGCCGCGCCGCTCCGGGGACGCGGGAGAATTAGTCGGCCGACGCGGCGCCGCCGGGCCGGAGCCAATCAACGCTCCGCTCGCGAGGCCGCTCGGCCAATCCGCGCCCCTGGAAACTGCCGAAAAAGGACCCGGCAACGCGTGTGTGCCGGGACCGGCGGTCATTAGGAGGAGAGCCGTAGCAGAGGAAAGTTTGTCCAAGTACGCGTAGTTGTGAAATAAAGGACCGAGACCGACGGGTCACAGGAAGCCCGCTTTTAAGAAAGGGTCACCGAACATCCCCGCCCAAGTAAGTTATAGGGGAAAAATCAGTGAAACTATTAGGGGACGATACGCAACATTCTTTGGGAAGATTCGCGCGAATTATTTGGGCAGGCCCGCAGAAATTATAGGGGAAACGCGCGTAGCGAGGCACGCGAGGGTGTTCGCGAGTGGCGGCCACGACGTATCATAAGTAGCCGCGTTAGGCCGGGAACCCGCGAGGCTTGTGCGAAGTTTGTGGTAGAATTTAGAGTTTAGGGCCGCCGACGGGCGGCTGGCGCCCAACCGGTGTGATAGCTTTGTGAAATAGATCTTAAGAAAATACTGAAGTTTTATATTAAACAAACAGTGAGCGCCCTCTTGTATTGTGACGAAAACCACGTCGCANACATTACTTAACAAAGTCACCTTATGGACGGTGAAACAAATAATGAAAAGCTGAACTCATAATAAAAAATGACATAACTGTAATATGTTTCGTGCTATTGCTATCAACTGTAAAATGTGCCGAAAAAAATTTACGTACAAAACCGTACCCACCCTTCCCATCCGTCAGGATTTGGTCTTGCGACACGTACGTTACATCTGACGTCATACCGACTACGGCGAACTATGTTGTTGGGTATCTCCTTCCATCTAGGTTTTATGTGTTCCCTACGGAATATTCATAATTTTTTAATGAATTTCCGAGCTTATAAAAATTGTATCTACAGTATAACTTAACTCTCGAGCACCCACGTTGTAATTTTGCCTGTATCATTTACGGATGAAATAAATGAGGTAGGTGAAGGGTAAAGTCAAAAAGGGCGCCATGAGTGTTCTTCCCTTACCATCAAATGCGAGCAGTGTTGGTAAGCGTAGGTAAGCCATCACCGTCAACTGCCGCATGGTATTACCATCACGAGTACGTGAGCCGCCAGCGGCGGCTGGTAGACGGCACCTCCATCGCGAGTGCGCGAACCCCTACCAGAAATTCGTTGCGCCGCCCTTGGGGGCAAAAACGGTGAAAGCTCACGTACAAAACCAGAGGGCAGCACACGATGCGATCGCGCGACCCTGCCCGTGAGCAATCTCCCAACTCATCTCTGTCCAATATGCCGGACAAGACAGACATATGGCAAGCGGTTATCCGCTAGGTTATAAACATCTTTTAGTACATGTGTAAACGTAACTATTTTTATGAAAAAATTCATTTAGTCATAGTATTAAAAATTCTTTTGAGTTAATATTTAATTTCTAACTGAATTTATTTTATTTAGAAATGTTTATCCAAAGAAGTATACAAGCATCGAGGATGGCTCATGACAATTTTCGAAAGAGAATGCATCAAAATATAACTTTTAAAGGGATTAAAAAGTATTAAGTAAGCCTGCTATATAAAATATATTTAATTTTAGTTTATATTAGGGTATGACATAACAGGTATAACTATGAATGCTTTGCAACGCAATAACTTGTTATTTTGTAAAGCCTGGGATTTTGAAAACTGCATAGGTAATCGAGGAAATAGGCAGTGTCATATTCAGCTGTATATAAAATAATCCTTTTTCAATCTTAAAAGTGTTTCATTTTATAATTTTATTTTTTACAGGATGCCACATTTACTGCTGGTACATCGTCTGATAACCCACAAAATGGGTCAAGACCAAACATGTCAAAAATCGACAAGGCTCTTGGACTTTTGTTTTTTGGGTGTAATATTCCTTTTGCAGTTGTGGAATTGAATCATTTTTTTAATTTTATTAAACTTTTAAACCCTAATTATATACCTCCTATGAGGAAGACACTGAGTGGGCTGATTCTAAACGAAGTCTATGAAAAGATTGTTAATGATAAAAAATCAATGGCAGATGAACACAGCTACTACTCTTGAATGATTTGAAAAATAAAAGTAAAAATGAAAAATATATTGTGGGAACTATCCGCAATACTACAGGAAAACAACTCTTTTTAAATGCTTGGGATTTTACAGAAATATTCGAAACTGCGGGAGCTTTAAAAGAAGTGACAGGAAAGACTGTCAAAGAAGCCAAAGAGAAATACAACATGGAAATATATGCACAATGCTTCAGTGATGATTAGCATGGGTAAAATGATAGATTTGTGGCATGTAACTTGTAATAGTCAGAAGGGAAATTTGCTAGCGAAAGGACTGGTAGAATCTGCATTTAATGAAGAAGTGAAACTAGTTCTAACAAAGTTTAAATCTTCAAATTTAGAAAAACAACTTGTTCTGTTTGGTGGCCAAAGAATCGTTGTACCAGAGGAAACCCGGTGGTGTTCTTATCGAGGTGTTTATAGATGTTGTCTTAAAAATCTATCGAACATGCGAAAAATTGTTCGAAAAGAGATTTATGAGGTTCATGCGAAAGTAGTCGACTTAATTTTTGACAAGTCATTTCAAGAAAAATTATTATCAACCATACTAATTTTCGATGCAGTTTGTGAATTAGTCAATAAATGTAAGAATATTTCTTTTAGTATAGCAGAAGCTTTAAATGAGTGAAATTAGAGTTACCTATATCCGATGAAAATTTGGAATTACTTTTGGTACAACACCTTAAAAAAATTGGAAGACCAATTTGTTTTTGTTTTATCCATATGTTTCATCCCATCATTTACTTTTCGGTCTTCCACCTTTATACATTTTGATACAAATATTTGTTACGAAGCTTACGACATCAAATAGCCGTTATCGTCCGTTATAAACAAACTTCAAATGCACATATTTGCATACATTTCAAATTTCCAAGGCTGATTTTGAATGTCGCATATTTGTGGATGCGTAAAGCGCAATTCCCTTGAGGTGAAGTGAAACGCGTCGAGGAACTTTATCGACGTCGATACAGAAGATTTTTCTAAATGCCTACGTTGCCGACGTTCGTTTTTATATTGACAGCTGGGTCGAATTATATTGTGTATTGTATCAAATGGCATATTCCACCTGTCGTTTTCGTACGATAATTATAAAGAAATCGAAGGGAAACTCCAGAAATCCTCTGGATTCATGCCTTCTGGGGCCCTAATTGATTGCGGAGGGACCCCCTGCGCCATCTGTGATTTCCAGGTAAATTAAATTTTCACTCTAAGACCTCGTATTACCATCGTTTTTGCATAGAAGCGCATACAACACTTTTTTGCCTTTATCCCGTTCAAATGCGAGTTTATCGATTACCAGAGTGTTCTAAATTGTCGTAAAATTGTCCTGACCCTTTCGATTCCCACATCAGAGCCTTCGATAATTGTATATCGATCGAAATATGAGAGCTCGACGCCATTTTGGTTCTGGTCTGGGCTGAGTTAAAAAATCCAACTTTTTGAATGTGTCAGGATAATTCTTAGATGATCAGGAGTGATGTGTCAAAGTTTCGAACAGTTTGGTCTAATACCCTTAAAAAAATTCGAATCGACTGATTCGAAGGGGGTTTCACTTTACCTTAATAGCCAATAAGAATCTCTTAGAGGTAAATAGGTGGACTCTCATTGGCTATTAACGATATTGCGCATGCGCTTTGCACATTTAGTTTCGGCTAATATACTTCGTGCCTGCGTAGAAAACTAGGGACGTATTATACCTTGTAATATACGTGTAGAAAACCACCTATATTATTTGACGTATTATACTTACTCAACCCTGAGCGGGCCGCAGATAAAAAATTCAGAAGTCTGCATAGAAGCCCAGAAATATACAGACGTTTGATGTTCGTTAAATAGTATGTAAGGCTACGGATGGCGGCGCTGTAATCATCTCTCTATCTCTCTTAATCCTATGGCGATATATAGCGAACTGCATTCTTTCTTTATCTTCCTTCCAGTACTCAACTTTCAATATGCGTCTCTCTTCCTCCCGTATGTAAGATACCATTGGATAACACATGCGACCTCTCTTTTACCCCACTCCTGGTTTGTTAGCCAATTTTTAGAGCATCAAGCGCTAACATAGGATCTACGCTTCTATGGAACTTCTGAATTCGTTGCCGCAGGTCGCCGTCAGTAGACAAAAGGAACGGTTCGACGTTTCATATACGAACAGATAAACTAACAAGTTTTTCGGTTCTTCAGTTTTGTTATAAGTTACCGTAGTAAGGAAGTAATATTCGTCTTGCAGAATAACAATCTCAGGCCTTTAAAGAAAATGACCTACGCATCGCCCTTACCAAGTCGCGAATTTCTCTGGGACGTCTTTCAAAGGTATGTCACAAACCTTAAAAATGACGTGTTCATTTTCAGATGATTCAGTTCTGAGACTAATGACCCAGTTGTTTTTAGTTTTTCCTTTTATTACTTCTTTTTAATACTCTATATTAACACGATACATATTGTGTTCATAAAATTTTGGGTTAATTTTGTTTGTTTTAATTTTAGTTTTGTACATTTGAAATTTATTATTAAGTATTGGAATTATATTTCAATGAACTTTCTTTAACTTCATAACCTATAAGTTATGTATTTTGTACTTCCCAGATGTTTAACCCTTTTCGGACGTATTAAATTTGGACATGGGTGTCGTACTGGTCGGAATTAATTTCCATTGAAAGTTGTTGTAGTGGCTGAGAGCAGACATATGACCGGAACGGTAAAAAGGCTTTGCTGGCTGAGAGTAAACATACGATCGCAAAGGGTTAATAAATTTAACTTCTGAAACAAATAAGATTTTTATGTATTTATATTAACCGAATAAGTAATAGAATTATATTTTGCCATGAAAATCATATTGTATATCTTTCGAAATTCTTTTATTGTCAGAGTATAGTATTATAATATAGAGAAATATGAACAATCCAGTACTTAAAATATTTTCTAACGGATTTGACTACATTTATATATTGGAATGAAAATGGAGGAATCATTATTATAATTATCACAGAATTTTGGTGAACTACTGCATGTAATATATCCATTTGTTTCTCTTCAAGAGTGGACAAAGATCACTCCGGAGCAATATCGGCAGATGAATTACAGTTGGCATTATCAAATGGAACATGGACACCATTTAATCCAGAAACTGTTCGTTTAATGATAGGTGAGACCTTTAATTTTTTTATTTTAGTAGCTCAAGGGCTACTATGCACTACTTGTTTAGTCAATTAGACATTTTTTAGAAGTAATCCCCTTTTTACTTTTCACAGGGTTCTTTATCCATTACACTATTGATAGCCATGTTAATTGTTGAAATATATACATTTTCTTTTTCCTTATCTCTGTTAGTGAAATTCGATAGAAAATATTTAATATACATTGTCACAATTATTGGTGAAAGAGTAATGTACATTTAATAATAAGAAAAAGGATACGAAAATATATGATTTATCAAAAATTCAAGAAGCTCAGTACTACATCAGGATAAACACAGAACATAGTGTCGTTCACATGCATACTCACAAATTCAGGCACTAATTTTATATTCATCTAGAATGACCAATTTTAAAGTTTGAACAGGTTGAAACTTGTAAAAGATTGATTAGTATCGCCCAACAGTAGTAAAATACCTCAACATTTTATAAAGTAATTCTACTTACAGTTAAATTAATACTACAGTTACTTAATCACCCAAAATGTGGCAAGAGAAGAAAAATGGGATTATTGCTAAAAAAAATGACTAGTCTACCAAGTTATAATGTAACGTAGTATGTTTAGTTGAAAAAGAAGAGGAATTTCTAAAATGTGAAGATATATTTATAGGCACATTTTATGTAATGATTTCACTTGAAAATTTCAAGGCAAATTATGAGAATTACTTCATTAGCATATTTTCATTTTTAAAAGAGTACGCGGATTGACAACAGAATTGTTTTATTAATTATCGGAAATTGCAAAAGCTGTTATCACGAAATGTATAACAAAGTATATTATAAAATATATTATAGATAATAAATTATGTTTAATGATAGTGCAATATTATGAGATAAACTTTAGTTATATCATGAAACAATGTTTTTGAGTCAATTTAAATTTCTGTAGAAAAATAAAAATTTGTTCTCTTTTTTTTTTCAAATAAATCTACTTTTTTGGAGAAGATTTTAACAATTTAATTTACAAAAAAGGAAGTGCTGTTCTTTTAATCCCTTTTAATATTGAAAATTAGGTGATGATGTATTCAAAGAATTGTCAAAATGATCTTTTACACTGTATTTGCTAAATCTAAAGAAGGAAAGGTTGCTTTGGAGCAATTCGGTGGGATGTGAACCCAATGAAGTGATGTGTGGAAATTATGAGATTAATGTACATCAGGATATATAGTAGAAACAAGCAGAAAAAAGGGCAGATATTGGATTTCGTTTATAGTTACTAATATAACCGTATACTACATATATTTTGCACCAAATGTTTTGATTTGATAATTAGTCTATGTAGAAGTAGACAGCCATTTGCACTTGTCTATATAAAACCACGTTTGCTCCTTTAGCAACATACATCAGCAAAATCTAGTGTGTACTTAATTTTGTTCGTGCAGGTATGTTTGACATTGACAAAATCAATCCCACTACAGGTATGTTTGACAAAAATCAAACAGGAACCGTCAGCTTCGAAGAATTTGGCGCTTTGTGGAAATATGTAACAGATTGGCAAAATTGTTTCCGATCCTTTGACCATGATGGTAGTGGTAACATTGATCGTCACGAACTTAAAACAGCTCTGACGAAATTTGGATATACACTGTCGGATGGTATAGTCGATACTCTGATTCGCAAATACGATCGTGCAGGAAGAGGAACAATCTACTTTGATGACTTTATTCAGTGTTGTATCGTCTTGTATGTGAGTATCTTTTCTTAAAGCAATATGAAAGTTCACTAAAGCAAACACCATTTGAATTTTATCTATTGTAAGTGACAGTACTGCCATATTTTTACTTAACCCTTTTAGTGATGGCCGAAGTCGTTAGCACTTGTAAATCGACGATATATCGTTGTCCGGCACTAAAAGGGTTAAATTTTGACTATTTACAGTATAGTGTAATATATTAGTATGGTATAGTTATAAAATTGTACATGTTGTTACAGGCTAATATAAGAAATAGATTTTAATTCCACTTAAGGCATTACAAATAATAAAAAGAAATAATTATTGTCAAACACAAGACATTTATTCGTAATTATTAATACCTACTAACACTTTTAGCTTGTTATTACTCTAGAAATGTGCACATACTAAGAGTAAAACGTTGTCATATCTTGCCTCCATAAAAAAAGAAACTGCCAAATTGTTGGAATGCTTATTCAACAACGTTCTTAACACAACTGAACTCTTTTTACTAATTATTTACTGTATTAATTTTCAGACACTGACAGCTGCTTTTCGACAATTCGACACTGATATGGACGGCGTTATAACTATCCGTTATGAACAATTTTTGGGCATGGTGTTTAATCTTAAGATTTAATCATCATAAGAAATGTACCTAATACCTTTTGATCGCCAATTTGACCATTTTTCTGGTTAATATCTATATAAGAGGTATCATCATATGTAATTTTAAGTACCAAAACTAAACTATGATACAACGTTCAGTATGAAGCAAATTGCCAATCTTTAAACTTCATTAAAAAGTTATACTTTAATATTTTGATAATTGTAAGATGTGAACAATGTGTTGATCATATTGTCTTTAGGATCATTCCGTGCTTTTAACTTTAGGAAAAGTCTATGTAAAAGTCATTAACTCAAACTATCGATTGTTAACACTTCTCATCTATCTCAAGGTTTTTGTGCTTTATGTACTAATGTTATTTTACGTATATGTAGTTTAACATTAAATTTAAGGTGTATAAAGTTACACGCGTTATCTGATTCCTACTTGATTAATACATATATCATATTCTAATAATCATTCCTAAGTATTAAAAATAACACAAGTGTTTCATTTTACTGCTTTTTAAAAGAAGAAGTGACGGAGTAACTACAATTTATGCATTCCAAATTGTAAACATTGCCGATAATCTTTTACATTTCAACACAAGCTACAGCAGTCAATTCACTCTTGTCGAACTAGATTAATATTAACTATGAAATGGAAATCAGACCCTGTTGTCTCAAGAAGTATGCGAGGAGTAACAGTTTTTAATAAAAGGTTTTGCAATATTTCGCTTCTAATCGATATTTGCAAAGTACAGCCGAATGCTAGATTTGCTACAATATAATGGTTTATAATATAAGATTCCTATGGAACATAACGTACCTTTACTCTTTGGCATGTAATGTACCTATTTATGTACTTTTTTATTATTTCTCTAATGTTACATAAAGTATATTTCCACTAATATTTACTGTTTGCTCAGTTTCCAAATGTCCTTTTATAAGTTATGCATTTCTCAGCATTTTTCCAATATGTAATATCGATTTAAACGTTATTGATTACATTGTCATTACTTTGGATGATAATATGCTAATGGATTTTTATAGACCTACATGACGCAAAACTAACAACATATGTTAGAGACAGTATAACATGTGTGTGTAAAAATGATTTGTTTAATATTAAATATAGTTTCAAACATTTTATGTGCCTTCTTTTTGCATCGATTATGGCTTTGAACATTTTTGACATTGACTTTATAACCTTTTCGAAAATATCGTACAAATTTTTAAGCACGTGTCAAAAACACGTTTTAAATCTCTTGTACTAGATATTTTTCCTATTTTTTTTAGCTTTAATTTCATCAGACAGTATAGATTTTATTTTGAGTCAACGCCTTAGCAGCTAAAAAAACAAAAACCTCATACAAATAATATTATACAGTACTTCTTCCATTGCATCTCAGAGAATGTGTTTTAAATTATTTTACTACAAATAATACGAAACGGTTGAGCCTAATTTCAATATCCTTGGTGATAAAATAAGTCACAATGCTGTGATATCGTTATCATTACGTCAATATTAAACATAACATTTCCGATTCTAATAATCCACATATATACAAAAATTATTGCGGATACGCTGCTCGTTTTGACGCGGTAGTTTAAACATTTTCTTTAGTATTGGCTCTCCTTGATCTCTCTCTTTTATTTAATTGGTAAGATGTTTGATTCGTCAAGGCCCTATTAAGAACTCTCTCATTAAACCAGCTGTTTTGTGAAAAGATTATTACTTAATATGTAAGGACGAGTTATGCTGATACCGAAATTCACTTCATGTACATATGTCTACAAAAATATAGATATTAATAAACAGCACGGTGTCTAATTTATGAGGTCTCAAGTTTGCCTGATCAAGGCTGTTCTGACAATTACAAAAATATCCACGAATACTATCTTGGGAAAGCAATGCAAATCCCGACTATTGTACCAAATCCGCCAAACAATTGATGGATAATGCTTGGTTCGCATTTCATTAAACCTCCACTAACGTACTTGCGTCACAGCCACAAGTCGCACGCCATTGAAGAACATAAAATCGTCATTCGTCAGTAAACACGCAATGATTTACAATTAGTTGTTAACTTCGTTGAGCCAAAGCTATTGTTTCTCTTAATTATTTACAATAACAAATGGACATAATCTATTTTCTTTGTATAATCCTTCTTTAATTTAATTGGAATATTGATTCTATATGCTTAACTCGTTGATGACAATGGCCCTCATACTTATATATTCTGTGCTTATGCTTAGATTATGTGCATTAGTTGTGTACATTCTAATTCAATGCCGTGTATGATCCATATACGGAAGTTAAATTTCATAAACATGCACTATCGGTACTATTAAATATAATAAAGCTAAAAGTCCAAGCAATCGGCACTGGCGCAGGACGATGAAATTTGCATATTAAAATTATTATCGATTTTATTCAATTTTTACATCTAGTTGAAATTGTTGAAATCTTGTTTAAGAAATTACAGTCGAAATCTGTATCCTCACACACAAAAGCAAATCAAGAGACGTATTACACTTTAATGGACAAATAATTTCAAGGTTGCCAGAATTATCTCTATAAGAACCCTTAAGGTGAAGTGGAAACACGCTTCAAATCATTCAATTTGAATACAACACTTTTTTTTAAGGGTATTAGACCAAACCGTCCGAAATTTTGACACATTACTCCTGATCATCTCAGAATTGTCCTGACACATTGAAAATTTGGATTTTTCCAAAAACTTTTTTTACTCAGCCTAGACCAGAACCAAAATGGCGTCGAGCTCTCATATTTCGATCGATATACAATTATCGAAGGCTCCGATATGAGAATCGAAAGGGTCAGGACAATTTTACGATAATTTAGAACACTGTGGTAATCGATAAACTCGCATTTGAACGGGATACAGGCAAAAAAAGTGTTGTATGCGTTTCTATGCTAAAACGATGGGAATACGAGGTCTCGGAGTGAAAATTTAATTGACCTGGAAATCACAGATGGCGCAGGGGGTCCCTCTGCAGTCAATTAGGGCCCCAGAAAGCATGAATCCAGAGGATTTCTGGAGTTTTACTTCGATTTCTTGATATTTATTGTACGAAAACGACAGGTGAAGTATGCCACTTGGTACAATACCCAATATAATTCGACCCAGCTGTCAATATAAAAACGAACGTCGGCAACGTAGGCATTTAGAAGAATCTTCTTTATCGATATCGACCAAGTTCCTCGACGTGTTTCACTTCACCTTAAAGACAGGTCACTTGAAATCCTCTAGATTCATGCTTTCTGGGGCCCTAATTGACTGCAGAGGGACACCCTGCGCCATCTGTGATTTACAGGTCAATTAAATTTTCACCCCGAGACCTCGTATTACCATCGTTTTAGCATAGAAGCGCTACAACACTTTTTTTGCCTTTATCTCGTTCAAATGCGAGTTTATCGATTACCAGAGTGTTCTAAATTGTCGTAAAATTGTCCTGACCCTTTCGTTTCTTATATCGGAGTCTTCGATAATTGTATATTGATCGAAATATGAGAGCTAGACGCCATTTTGGTTCTGGATTGGGCTGAGTTAAAAATTCTTTTTGAAAAATCCAAATTTTGAATGTGTCAGGACAATTCTTAGATGATCAGGAGTGATGTGTCAAAGTTTCGGACAGTTTGGTCTAATATCCTTAAAAAAAAGTGTTGTATTCGAATCGACTGATTTGAAGTGGGTTTCACTTCACCGTAAGAGAAAGAGTAAACGCGTGGGCTCCTGTTGCGATAGTGAGAACGCGTGAGAGACGACTATCAGAAGCAAAGACGCACAGCGTCGGGACGGCAGTCATCGGGGGTCGGTCGACCAGTCTGTACGAGACTGAAATCGGTTCGAATCGATTCGAATCGATGTTAGACGTAACAGATATTGGAACCAAAACGAATGTTTCTCTGACACGGTGAAATTTTTCGCGCGAGTTAACCGCTTGAAGTATTTTTAATAAGAATTTCTTTTTTGTGAAGTTGGTTCACGGTAAGTTGTAGCACGTTTTGAAATCGTAACTTGTTGCCTTCAGTTGACAATTAAAGAACTATCGTCTATGGCTCATTTTCTACGTCACTGCTCGTAAAGAGTGTTTCCAGGGGGAAAGAATTTTGTAGGAAACCGAAAAAGGAAACCAAAAGTCGCGACGTTTAATTCCATTTTCCGGGAATTTGTTTATCGATTGGCAAACAACGATATTTTCACGCATTCCAATAGATAATCAGTACATTATCTTATTTATTTCTTCATACTTTCGGGTAAATGTTAAAAAACTAGTTTTAAGAAAAAGTGTTCATTTTCCGCAGACAACAATACTGAGGATGTGTTCGCGATTGTTTGAAAGTGTCGCAGAAACTATTGAATATACCCTAGTTTCCGGAAATATAACATTAGTTTTTCATGAAATGTGTTTAAGAATAAATTTATTCATTTATTTATTAGAGCATTTTGTCCTGTATTCATTTACACTCATTTTCGTATTATTTTTAAAAAGTGATTCTTACGTAGAAATATTTCCAATCTCTTTAGACATGAGCTTTTGAGAAAACAAATGTGAAAATGAATTTGTTTCTTAACAAAACATATCGGTAAGAGCTTCAATGCAAATCCACGATATGAATTGGTTTACTTATTTTTGTTGACAAGAATTACCGGTATATAATATAAAAATTGTCAAACTCCCCTACCAAGCAATGATAGTTTTTAAATGATTTTTAGATAAATTTTTCGAATTTTGATGAAAAGGTAATGCTCGATCTAGGAATCGAATTTCTCGCTTGACCTTGTTTTTATCTAGATCCTTGACTTTATCAGCGAAGGCATATCTGCATTCGCGTTTACTATCTTTGCGATTAAGAAAGGCTGTTTTTTAATCGTGGAAGGAACATATGTATAACTTGTGTATTTAGTATACGTTTTGCTTTACAAACGTAAAATGGAGGATATTCCACGAGCAGAATATAAATGCTTTGAAATAAATTTTACAGGTATTATATCATACAATTTATTTGAATACACGTTTGACGTCGAGCTAATGATTTTCCGTTACAACTGAATAGAATTTTTCAATGAGGTTTTTCTGATATAAACTTGAAAACGTGATATTCTTCGAATGTAGGATGAAGAAACAGGACGCGCTATTGATAAGTAACCACTCGTTATGTTTTATCCCGCCTGAAGAGGAAATCACGCTATGACTAGTACAACCTATGTTTCTTATTTAACAAGAATTTGGAACTGCCCAAAGCCTAAATAATATCTAAAAATATAAATGAAACATGACAAATATAAGTGCGAGAACGAATGGTGCGGATATACGACTTATAAAAACTGAAACCGCTTGTACTCATAAACATTTTCGAGGAATATTGATTTTCAAATTAATAATCTACCTCACTAGAATCGAGTTTACACGAAACGTTAGATTTTCGTCCACCCATTAGAAGTGACAAATTCTTTACAGTGCAAATCTTATTTCCAAACGAAATCGCTCATTTATCGAAACATTATACTCATCGATAATTAATCGTATTCGAGATGTGGTTAATTCATATTAATTGTAGGTATGTCGAGGTTATGAAATAGGAAATCTAGAATCAGGAATTCGAACGAGGTCGGTGACGATGATAATAGTGATTTGTTCATTGTTTGCGAACATGTGGTTAATTCGTCTTCGGTTCTGTAACTACAATCATGATTTGTACTTTCAGTCTCGTACTGTTTTAATGTTTCAAATATGAACCCTTCTTTATCAGAAAGAATTTTCTATATTAATTATTTTTATGGTAACTTTGATAACATTTTATTATCTCTCTTGACAAAAGCCGATAAGAAATTCCGAAGAAAAAGTTAAGATGATAATCGTGGTAAAAATGTATAGTGCAACAGAAATGATCATAATCTTCAGTAATAAATATTAATTTATATTTTTTTGGAATAATGAGAAGGCAGGGCCGAAAAAGAAATGATTAATAATCGTCAATGGATAGCCCTCAAGATCTACTTTTATGAACATAAACTGTTAAAGCTGGATCATTGAGCAATTTAAGTGATATAAAATAATAAACATTATCAGTGGTATTTTTCGGTCATCCCAATTTTCATCGAGGGTATTTAACGT